CTTTTACCATACCTGATGTAGTGCAAATCTTCCTCCAAGGGGAGGCCTGGAAGCTTTCAAATATTTTGACCATTGACTGCCATTATCAGTAAAGGAGCCAATACGGTAACTGGTAATGAAAATAATCAGTAGCTTGTTCAGATAATTAAAGCTATTAACCTCTCCTAAAAATGGAATAATCCTCCACTTTCAAAAGCCCAATGATTTGTTGGTCTCGACAAGTATTTTTTGGCCTCCAAATTCTTCTTCCTGAGAAGTCTCTGAAGAAGTAACACCTAGTTTCTGCCTGGATAGCGCTTGCATCTTTTGCAATTGACCGTGACAGCCCTTGTGGTGCTGGGAAGCTGCCTGCTAATGGTGATGGCTGGAGGCTATATTTCAGTGCGTGCTGGATTTGATCTGCCAGTAGCTTTTGAGACTAGACCATGACGTGCCCTCACTGTGCCCTCCCTCAACAGTGCTGATTTAGATTTTTGAGGTGGAATGAAAACTGGCTGACCTGTTGTGCTCAAAGGGTTGTGATCAGTGGCATGAAGTCCAGCTGGAGGCCAATCACTAGTGGCATCCCCAGGGGTACACTGGGCCAGTACTTTTTAACATGGTCATTAGCGACCTGGATGATGGACAGAGTGCACCCTCAGCAAGTTTGCAGAATATACAAAACTGGGAAGAGTGCCTGATACACCAGGTTGTTGTGCTGCCATTCAGAGGGACCTTGACAGGCTGGAGAAATGGGCTAACAGGAACTTAATGAAATTCAACAAAGGGAAATACGAAGTCCTGGACGTGGTAGGGAATAACCTCATGCATCAGTACAGACTGGGGGCTGACTGGCTGGGAGGCAGCTTTGCAGAAAAGGACCCGGAGGTCCTGGTGGACAAAAAAATGGAACATGAGCCAGCAGTGTGCCCCTGTGGCAAAGGAGGCATCCTGGGCTGTATTAGGAGGAGCACTGCCAGCAGGTCGAGGGAGGTGATCCTTGCCCTCTGCTCAGCACCAGTGAGGACGAATAACCAGTGGATCCGGTTATGGGCCCACTTCTGGGGTTTGTAGGACAAGGACATGCTTATACTGGAGCAGGTCCAGTGCAGGGCCATGAAAATAATTTAGGGCTTGGAGCATCTCTCATATGAGGAGAGGCTGAGGGAGCTGGGACTGTTTATCCTGGAGGAGTGGAGGGGAGGCTCGAGGAGATCTTATGAATGTGTATAAATACCTGATGGAGGGGAGTAAAGCATCACCATACGCAGCAGCAGATGTTCTGGTTGTTTTAATTTCTGTGTTTTGGATTCAAATGCTGAAAACTGACCTGGACTTTTGATCATTTTATTGGAATTAGCATATCTTTTAATTGGTCCCTTACATTTTAAAGTTTTGTTTGTGGAATCAACATGCAAATAGAAACATATGGAAAGATATTTATGTATGATTGATGATTGCCATAGCATATATGGGCTTAAAATTAATAAAGCAGGCAATAAAACCAAGAGATTGACGGTCTTTTATTAACACCATTAAAGCTGGCAAATTTTGAAAGGCTATTGACTTAGAGCAGTGCAAAGACTGGCTAGTTTGGCCTCGCATTATCTCAGCAAGTCTTTGTCCATTCTGATAATAAACTGAGGTTAAGTTTGGCCTACATCTTTATTGTATAGTCTATATAGCATTGTTGGAGTATACTTGTAAACCACTTAGAACATTTCTGAAGGTGGGTAGAGTTTATCTTCCATGTGCTTAGGGAAGATGTTAAAATGTTTCAGTACACAAAGTATCTCAGGTATACACAGTGTCCTAGGATCAAATTCGGAAAAGTGCTGAGTCTTAATGAGGTCCTGTAACATCCATTAGTCAGTGTGAGGTGTTGATGCATGCACACTGGACCTTGGGATCTGGCTTTGAACACACATATGTTGACGTCATGTACTATATATTGTTCAGTGTGAATTTGCAGGTTATCTTCCTAGAACCCCGCAAGCTTTTTACACCATACTGAAAAGCTACGTCTTTGGATGCTACGCAGTCTGTCTCTGCCTTTTCCATGAATAAGATGTGGACTAATTTTTTTGCCTGGTTTTTGTTTCTTGTCTTCACTGAGTGATGTCCTGTTGCTCAGGATACCACATGGGAGTAACAGATTAAATCATGCTCGTGCTCTCAAGAATCTTGTCAGAAGACCATTCTTCAGCAAAAGGGGAAGGGAAAAAAGACTTTTGCCTTGTGTGTGTAATGCCTTTTATTGCGCTAATGTGAAATGATTCGATGTGATGGACAGCAGTTTATCAAAACAAAATCTCATTAAAATCTGTCTGCACTTTGCCCTTACTCTCCTTTGTATAATAAGATTGTGAAGCTTTCTGTGACCAGACAGTAACCTGTGGTAACCTGTAGTGTGCGTACATTTATGGGTGATGAATAAAACCATTGTTATCACCCTTAAATGTTGGCATCAATATTGTGCTAATAACATTTGGAAATTTCTGCTTTATCAGCAGCAATGACTGGCAAATAATCAGCTGTTTTGTAATGGGAAGCTTAAAATAGCAGCCAAAGACAGTTGAGTTAAGCTTCATGGAAAAGGACACTGCTGCATTTATTATGATACCATTTTTGTTGTGTAAGGATGACATGATTGTTGTTTTAGCTTTTTAGACATACAATGCAATTAAGAATAATCAGTTTTCCCACACATTCCGCGAAGCAAATGAAGCACAAATGCTAATAACCAGGCCCTTAAATTTAGAGTGACTTCCGCTGCTGCATGGGCAGCCCATGGGTACAGATGCGTGTTTCATAGTGGTATGCAGTTATTGTGTGATTGCAGTCTTCTTACAGAGATGCGAGTCTCAAATTAAGTTGCTGATAAATAGTAAACTCTTTAAGATTTGCCCATACTACCAATTTAAATATATTCTGGAGTGCGGAGGAAGGGGATCTGTATATAAGTACATATGACATACATTGTAGGCTTTGCAGTCTGTAACAGGCATCCAGACTAGAAGTTTAAAAGAACGTGTAAAAGAATTTCTAATTTGTGTTTACTGGAAGTAGTAGGTGGTCGCACCAATAAAAACTATATTGTGTTACATATGCACACAGATACGTGTAGTGTTTAGCCCATAATTTGTGTGAAATGTGTGTGGCTGGTTTTAGAATTCAGAGCATCAGCAAAGACATGTCAGGATTTGGGCAGGGTGTTCAGAAAACAGATCTTGCCTATAACTAAAGGTAGTAAGTTTATACTGACAGTTTTAGTTCATCACTGTTCCTACTAAAAGATATTTATTTGGAGGGGGTGGAAGTCTCTCATATATTCTTAGACCAGGCTCTGTCACGATTGTTTTAGACAGAAATCTGCATGAACAGATATATCTAAAAAATGTTTATGCATTCATATACAACTTTCTTTTCTGTATTCTTTTCCCCAATTTTTTCTGTGCTTATTGCTTTCCTCAGCGTGAGTATGCAGTACCTTTATATTATGCATGCTTCTAGACTTTTACTGTATTGGGGCCAAGTCAGTGGGACTTTTTTTGCATGCTTGGGACTAAATGTTTACTGAATTTCATCTTTGCTTGCTAAGAATCTTAGACTGAAGTGCTTAATTAAATGTGTGAAAAATAAATTGCTAAACTTTATCACTGACCAATACTATTTACCAGGAAATGAAACATAGCAAGAGCAAACAAGTGATATCCTAACTATGATGTTCAGTTATTTGCATTTCACTGGACATAATTTTCCACATATAATTTTAAAGTTTTGACTATACCAGATGATAAAAGAGTCTTAGTGTGGATGTAGTTGTATCTGTATGAACAATCCCAAGTTGGAAGAGCATATTCCTGTTTGTGAAGAAGAAAAAAACACAATGGCATGAGAAGACTTTTTATTATTAAAGTGTTCCCACACCAGGGCTTATATTTGTGTGTTATTTTACCAAAATTTATAGTAAGAATTCATACCTTTAGATCAGGATATGATAGCTCATAAAAAAATTGATTTCTGAGAATGGAAGATGAGTTTTGCCGTCTGCAGGGAAGTATCGCAAGGTCTCATCACCATTAGTGCACCAGCCTGTGCTGGCCTCTTACAGTGAAGTCAAATTAATAGCGAAAGAATTTTTCCCAAATGCTTGCAAAAATTGTGGTTGTAACATGTATGACTGAAACTGCAGTTACACACCCTTGTATAAGGAAGGGGTGTGGAGGAAAGGGGAATCTGTTTGCATTATCCAATTTTAGAAGATGCCCTGACACAATTTTAAAAATTGAGGATGATGCTAATTACAGATTTTCTTTTTTCCAGTAAAAATCTAAGTGGAGATGATTTAGACTGAAATGAAAGCTGTTATGTCCTACCCAGTTAAATGTTCTGTTCACCATGAAATGTGCCAATAAGGCCACTGTAATGAAGTCAAAAGAAAAAAATAAATCCTCAAAGCTGGAAAAGAAGTCCCGTTTTCTCCAGGAGCTCAATCTTGAGACCGCTGACCAAGGAGATAGCTTAATCTTCAGCTGAAGAGCTGGAAAGATACAGCCTATCCCTTTCATCCCCATGAGAGTCCCTAACTTGTCATTGCTATTTGGCAATTATTTTTTTGTGTGTATTTGGTCAGGGTCTGTGACACCTCAATGCAGCTGTCTGCTCTCAGTCAGGCTAAGAGTGAAGCTGAGTAAATAACTCCTGGCGAGTACGTGTTATCCTGGTAAATCCTCAGTCTCTGTGAGTGTGGGACACATTTGCGAAGTTTCAGGATGCCTCAAGACACATTTTCAGCAAATAAACTATTAACCAAGATAACTTCTCAACTATAGAAAAATCAAAAGGTCCGCATCCATCCTTGTGGATGACTTTGAGCCACTTTTATAGGGCTAGAGATCGGATCTGAATGGAAATGTTTAAGGAAGTCATTTGAACGTTATTTACAAAGTTTTCACTTAAAAGATATACTAATATTTTACAGTTTAGTTACAGCTAATCACCTATCTTTATTCTTCCAGGCTTTTAAGACCAAGGATGGCTACATTGTGGTGGGAGCTGGAAATGATCAGCAGTTTGTCACTGTATGCAAGGTAATGGTGTGTTAGGTGACAGTACAGAAATGTGTAATAGTTTCCATTCTGACTAGGAAAATAATTACTGATTGCTTCTTAATTCCCCTTTTTTGTGAAAATAAGTAGCGAGTATAAATTCTAACCCTGGGGTGCTGGCTGGTAGTTTAGGGGACTAATATGGGTTGTGTGCTTTGCCTTTGTTTTCAGAACACCCCAATTACCAAACTTGTGGGTGCTGAACCCCTTTTGAAGTCTGTGCAGCTGCACAGCTAATTAGCCAAAAACCGAAGAAGTTAACAACCTTCCAGTTCTGGAATGGTGAATGTCACGGAAGTCACACTGGTGCCTTCTTCAGGAAGAAAAGTGATAGTTTCTCCATAAAATATGTAGTAGGCACAGCTATTAGCAAAGCTAGGGGATGCATGGTTCTTGTGCCACTTTAATCAGTAGCTGAGGGCGTAGTCCCTTCACTAGTATGTGCTGGTCTGTGCTCACAGAGGAACTTGGGGACTTCTTAGAACAGAAATATTACAGGACTGTGGGCCGACTTTGGAGTGGTGCAGAGATACGATGTTGAAGAACAAATCTGCAAACAGGACTGCTGCGTTCAAAATCTGGTATCTTCATTATTTTGAACTGAAGGAACACGACTCTGGCAATTCTGTTTTCACAGAGGGTAGCTTGCAAAGTTGTAAAATAGTTTTGGATTTTTCACATATTCTTTTCCTGTTGTTTTAATACCTGGAATTGCTTTTCCTTGGACAGTGAATACATTTTAAAAGAGAAGGAGTGGTTGTAGGGAA